CACCACTTGTCGCGAGCCATGACTCTGTCCAGCAGAGCCGAGGAAAGATGACACAGACATCAAGGTGAGGTTCAAGCTTCTTTTTCTCATTCTTCCTTTATTCTCTCTTTCTTCATTCTTTGTTTCTCTTTATTATCTCACCCACTATACTTATTCTTTGTTGTTCTCCTATATCTCTCTCTCTTCATCCTTTTCTTATTACACACTTCAGCTGTTCATATAGCGTTCCCAACAGCCCTCCCCCTGGCCAGGACCAATCAGGGCACACACACGCATAGCGGGCAGGCAGAGTGGCAGCTCATTGGGCCACATAGTAAGATCATCAGGCAGGCAGCACATGTTCGGGCTCACCATGCTTCAGGGAGTTGGAGTAAACAAGCGAGGGTCACGAGCCTTGGCAATCAGCCAAGAGTTGAAGTAAACAGCATGAGGTTTGGCAGCCAGCCAGGGCTCCATCTTTGGCTGGCTCGGCTGTGCTCGCTTCCCACATCCCATTATTTCTCCCCATAATAAATATGCTAAAAACGGTTCTTTCTTAGCTCTAGTTTCAAAGGATTTTCTGGTGGCAAGATTGTTTATTTTTTTCTGGGTACTGTTGTCAGTGACATTTTTAATTTGATATAATGTATCCAGCCTTTTTTAGTCATCTTGGTGATTAGAGCACCAGAAAGGGCCCCTCCAAAGTCAATTTTAATTTCTTCTCTTTTCAGCTTTTTCTAATCAGCATTTGATTCTGAAGCTGGAAAGGATGGACTGGAATTTGAGTGAAGGAATCTGGACAGGAAGGCCTTGTAATCTGGAGAAAGCAAAAGGGAGAAGAAAAACAGCGCATAATTTCTGAGAAATTGACTTTTAGTTTTCACGGCTGGAAATAGTTCCATTAAGAACTATTTTAACCTTGGGCTGGAGAGATGGCTCAGCGGTTAAGAGCACTGGTTGTTCTTGCAGAAGACCAGGGTTTGAATCTCAGCACCCACATAGCAGCTAACAACTGTCCATAACTCCAGTTCCAGGGGATCCGACGGCCTCTTCTGTCCTCACAGGCATTGCAGGACACGGGTGCACTTACCTACATGCAGGAATAACACTCATACATATAAAAATTTTAAAAAGAGCTATTTTAATCTTAAGCAAAGTTATAGGTAGACACTTAGTCTAATCTTTTTTTAAAATATTTTATTTTTATTTTATATATACGCATGTATTGCCTGCATGTAGGTAAGTGCACCCATGTTGTGCAATGCTGGTGGAGAACAGAAGAGGCCGTTGGATCCTCTGGAACTGGGGTTATGGACAGCTGTTAGCTGTCATGGGGGTGCTAGGATTTGAACCGGATCTTCTGCAAGAACAGCCAGTGTTCTTAACCGCTGAGCCATCTCTCCAGCCCCAAGGGTAATCTTGTTTTAAGTAAAAAACCAGTTTTGTGTGTGTGTGTGTGTGTGTGTGTGTGTGTGTGTGTATTAAAATCTGATCTACTCTTTATTTTTCAGATGGAGGTGCCATGGGATATGATAGTCCCAATTAATGTAGTCTATATGTATAGTTAACAAGACAAAATCATTACATGACTTGCTTAAAATCAATTTTAATCACATTATCATCAGTAGCAGCTAAGGGGGGGGGGAGCTTTATACATTTGTAAAGGTGATTCATCATCAGTAGTAAATACTTTAGTTTGTTTTCATCTTAGTTACTTTTGTGAAGATCCCCTGGATATTTTGAGAGGGCTTCTACTTAGGAGGCCTCCCCTCTGAGACTTGTTTTCTTTTTAACTTTTTTCCCCTTTGGCAAGTTCCCTGTTTCTTATGTGTCTGTTTAGTAATGGTGTAGACACCTGCACAGTTACAACTTCTGCATTGTATCATACAGAGCCTGAAGGCCTCAGTGACTTCTAGGATGTACACTGGGTAGAATCCAATCTCTGGGGACCCCATGACCTCTCTGATCAAGATGACAGCTGACTTACTAAAGGGGTCTCACTGTCCCTGGGTTATGGTTGACTTCAGAAGTCAAGGTCTACAATGTTGGGCGTTTTCTTTGACTTTAAAAATAATTTTGTTTTTTAGACAGGGTCTCACTCTATAGCCCCAGCTGGCCTGGAACTCGCTATGTAGATTACTTCAGGCTTGTCTTAATCTCACAGTGATCTGTCCACCTCTGTCCTCCAAGTGCAGGGAATTAAAGTCATGTGCCACCAAGCCTGGCTTTCTTTGACTTTTTTATTCAAGTTTTATTGAACACCCAGTTTTGTAAAGTTAACTTTTGTATAACATCTATACAAAGCCTAGACAAAACAGTTTGAACAGTTATGATTTTATTACGACTCAGTTTCCCCAAGTGGCTAAAGTATAATGTAGTAAAAGCACAAGTAATTATCTGAATTGGATATACATTCTTTGTTCTTTTAAGTCAGTTCTTACAAATGTTATTATTAGTACATAAACTTTGCACAGTTTAAGACTTTTGTGACTTGGCTTTAAGCTTTTACAGTTTTGTCCTCATTTTATTTTTTATTCTTAGGAGAAAATTTTATTTATATAAATTTCATAACCTTGGGGCTGGAGAGATGGCTGAGCAGTTAAGATCACTGACTGCTCTTGCAGAGGACCCAGGTTTGATTCCCAGCACCCACATGGTGGCTATGAATTGTCCTTAACTCCAGTTCCCAGGGAATCCGAAGCCCTCTTTTGACCTCCGTGACATTGCGTGACACAGGTGCACTCACTCACATGCAGGCAATACACTCATACACATAAAGTAATAATAAAAAAATTCATAACCTTGAATTTGTTATTTCCTTAAACAAGAGGTGAACTCAAACACCATGGCACATTGCAATAAATGAATACTACCTGCACACATATTTTTAATTAGGCATTTTTGTTATAAGTCTCAAGCAAACTTTCTTCACTTGGACTTTTTAAAAAAACTTTGCTGGAATTAAACTCCATGTCTGCCAGCAATAATTCTTTTAATTATTTCCCCAGGTGCTTTAAGATTGATCTGAACAGACGTGACCTTCAGTATCCCTGGTTCCATTTGAAGATCTGGACCTTGAATTCCTGGACTTTTGACTTTCTCTTGGTCTGATTTATAGTTGTCAATATTATCTTAACTTTGAACAGCTGAGCTATCTCTCCAGCCCTCCATCTTTCTAACTTTCTTGTTTAACCAGCAGTTAGTTACAAAGTATAATTTTATAAATTTATCATTTCTTGTACCAAGAGGACCCCCACCCTCTCTTTAAGTCACGTATCTTTGGGGCAGGTTTCATCAGCAGTTGTAGGCCCACTTTTTTGCTTTGCTTTGTTATTGTTAGCAAATCCATCGGTGTGCACAGCCTCTGATGTTATGGAGTCCTCAGCCCTCCTTCCACAGGAACAAAGATGGCCTTTTCACCCTAATGCCCTAGGTCTGGGCTACAGAGAGCCTTGCACTGCCTTGCATACATGCCCTTTAGGGAGTGCACTTACTCAGCGCAGCTTGGTTGGAGCTCAGACAACAGCTGCCTTTGGCTAGGAGGAACAAAAGTCGGTCTTGCCTGAAAGGCCAGTGCTCATCTTTGTTCACCTTGGACCTGGCCCACACCCCTGAATCGTGGCCTCATGGCAGTTGCTATGCACCTGGAAGCCTGGCACAGGGGCAGTCTTGGCCCCGTCTTCCAGCCTCCTGGTCTGGCCACTGTTCATCCTGCCAGTACATCCATGCTTCATTTTTTTTTTTTTTTCATCAGCCACCTCACATACAAAGACCTGGTGCAGCCCCCTGCCTTTTTTTTTCTTTCAGAACCTCTTTTTTCCCTTTCTGCATCCCACTCATTTACATTCACATAGGAGCTCCAACCCTTTGCCCGGTGCCCAGTGCTGAGGGCACTGAAATCATTGTGGAACTGTTTTAATCTCATTCTCATGAGATTATTCAGACAGTTCTGGACTTTGAAGGTTGACCTTCCTTCCACTCATTAGAGTGGGATCAAAAACAAAATTACCAAATTGAAACAAAAGCAAACTGAACTTGAACTTGGGTCCTTACTAGTCCTGATGGTTGCTTCGCTGAACTGGTTTCTCCCCCGCAACCCCACACCGTGGCCTGTTGTGCTTTCAAAGTCCAAGCCCCCAGCAAACCAAGAGGGTTGGTGCTTAGAAGAGTACTTGCACTACAACAACAAAGGAGGTACAATCTATTCCCTCTGATCTTCAGAGAGCCCCCAGAAAGCATAGTAGGCACTCTGAACGGAAAACAGAACCCCAAGGCTTTTGCAGGAAGCAGTTTAATGTGCGAGCACAGGCCATTAGTTTTCAAAAGCAGAGCCTTGAACAAAGAAAGACCCAGCCTTTTCTGCCCTCTGTTAGTTTCCATTTGCAGTTCAGTTTGTCTCTCATATATGGTAACACACACACACACACATCCTGATTGAGTGCTCCCTGCTGCAAGGTCATGGCAGGCAGAACTGTGTGCACTCTGGCACAGACCATGCCAAATTACTCCCTTTTCTTTGTTCTGGGAGATTCCTACCACAGTACCATGGCCAAAGGTATAGCCTAGCTAAGTGGATGCTACTGGGCATTTGGAACCTGGCAGTGGAAAGGCACTGATACTAATTCTGATGTCCTAGTCTTCCTTTGTAACATGGCTCAGTGTGCACAATTAAGGGCATGGATAATCAACTAACTCAACTGTGCCTCAGCTTCCAGGCATAAGAAAATGCAATCCAGACTTAACTGTGTATTTCTAAACAAGAAGAGAAAGGTGTGATGCCAAGAAGCAACAAATAAAACAACAAACCCAATACTACAAATGTCTCCTTTTTTTTTTTTTTTTTTCACTTTAGAATACAAAGTTATGGGCTTCATTATGGCATTTCCATGCATGTCATCATGCTTTGTTCTTATTCACCCTGCTCCCCCATACAAATGTCTTCTCCTGAGCCTGAAGACCTAGTGGTCTCTTAACAGGTGATCATTTCAGATCATCCACAGAACCATGATACAACCAGTGAAAAGAAGAACATCTCATATTAAGCATTTAGATCATGGTTGTTCTTTTAAAAATATCAAAGCCATTTTTAGAAAATATCTTGATGATTTAAAAAACTGTTGTTTATGTAGTTTAATCTCGCAAATACAATAGACTTCAGGTGTCATGAATTTATTTCTATGTAGCACACTAAAGAAAGATACATTGTACCAATGGTAAGTACAGAGAATAGAACCATTCAGCTTTTGTGGTATTTCAGTTAAATTCCTACCCACTGAACTTTAAAATGACAAGAAATACATGGTACTGCAGAGGCTGAAGCAAGAGAGTCACAAGTTCAAGGCCAGCCTGAGCTACATAGTAAAAGTGTTTGTCAAAATGAAAGAGAGACTGATGAGACAGCGTGGGGGGGGGGGGCGCTTGCTGTCAAGGCTGACAACTGAGTTCAGTGCCCAAAACTCACATGGTAAAAGGAGAAAACCAGGTCCCCTGTATTGTCTTCTGACCTCCACACTCGAGCTGTGGTTCATGTGTGCACTCTGCCACACACACACAAATGTAATTTTAAAAAATAAAATCACAAAATAAACCTGACTTTACAATTATGTGGTCAAATACCTAATTCACAATTTTAATAGAGCAGAAATGAAATACGTGTGCTTTCTCCCCAGATACTTTGTTCAGAATCTTATTTCCCTTCTTCAGGGTCTCACAACTTTTGTCTTTATCTGAAAACTCTGGAAACTGAGGTCTGATAAATATAGCTGAGAAAAATCTGATCATCCATCATCCCAATGTATTTGCTGTATCACTATACTGTAGCTCACTGGTATCAAGGCAGCATTTCAAATGTTTTTCTAACCTCTTCTTCCATAATGTGTGGGTTTCCCACTTACAGTTTTAATTATTTGTAAGGGAATGTAAACACTAGGGTAGGGTGGGGACAATGAAAATTACAATTTCATCAGGCACACTTAAACCCATAAAATACTTTTCTGATTTCAGAATAACTGAGACACATGGAAGCAGAGGGACTGAGGTTCTCTCCCACACCTTGTTCTCTTTAGGCACATGCTTAAGCTGCCAAACCTTAGTATGGAGGATGCTCGTCTCTGGCCTCCTCCAGCCCAGCTGGCTCCACTATCTAGGACTTGACCTAGTATATGGCCAGTCTACCCAGTGATGTATTTCTTGCCCCATGCAGCCTTGTCTGTCTTATCTGATCACTAACAGGTGATCCTTTCATCCTCCCTAGGCTGAACTCAATCCCTGCCAGGCTCCTTTGCCTCTTCTTAGTAGGTATTATTTTTCTGGTATATTTAGTTTTGTTCAATTATGATGTATGTGCTGACCAACTACTGTGTATTGCACAGTAAAGTACTGGCTTGTAACAAAACTTTCTAGTATATGGGTTCTTTTTATTTTTATTTTTTGGTCTTTTTGAGACAGGGTCTCCCTGTAGCTCCAGCTGTCCTAGAACTCATTATGTAGACCAGGCTGGCCTTGAACTCACAGAGATCCGCCTGCCTCTGCCACCCGCGTGCTGGGATTAAAGGTGTGCGCTACCACACCCGGCCATATATGGGTTCTTTAAGGGTCACTTCTATCTCTAGTTTGATAGCTTCTGATAAAATAGCTATTGAAACATAGCTACGCTGTCTATTCACATATTTACAACTTGCTATGCAAATTTGGATTACAGTTATTAAGTATGTACACATATATTCATTGTATCTACCACAGCAACTAGACATTAATACATCCAATAGATACTCAGGTAATTATATAAATGAATGGCTATATAAGAACCTGGTAAAACTTGGACGTTATCACTATTTATCACATGAAAATGAAAAAGGCAGAGTTGAAAAAGGTAAAAAGAACATTCTTAGTTTTTCCTTTAATTAAATCCAAAGCCACCATGTGTGTTCATGATAACTGACAAAGAAAGGAGGAAAAACAAAACCAAACAAACAAAATAAATAGGAAGACTTTCTTTCCTTCTGCGGATAGTCTTTCAACCTATATAGACAGAAAACACTCACTCTTCATCAGGTATAGACAGAAAGCATCCCCCAGGATTCAATTTGTAGGTAAAATGTAGCAACTTTTGGTATGTGCTCTGCTTTGACATAGAGAAGAGACTGTAACAGGTCAGGCTGTTCCATCTTTCTTTTCATTTGAAATAGTCATATAAACAAAAAGATGAATTCTATTAGAGGGTATTCTTTACCAGAAATATCCAATGCAATTACATGATACCATGAAAATAGCTTTTCCTTCTTAGGTATGAGATTTCTCATCCAAATACTTGGAGATTGAATAAGAGGATCTCTAAGTTTCTTTAATTCATGTACACACATCAGTTCACACATGATGAGGTAGAGAGTCAGGCATTCTGGCAATACAATATTAGGCTTGATCAGGGGGATTGCTTACAATAAAAGTGACAAGAATGCCTTATAAAAGCCCACTGAACACCTGCCATCTGCTTCTTCCTCTGCTGGAAGGAACAGCAATCATACAAGGCCAGGCATTGCATGTGCTTGGTGCTTGTAGCGAAGGTGATATGGCATGTGCCAGGCAGTCAACAGCTAACGTTAGTCAAATGGGAAAGATATTTTGCTGATGTTTCTACAGCATAACCCAGAGCAAGCTAATTAAAAATAATATTTTGCTAGCAATTGAGTATCAGTGCATAGTTAATCCTTAAAACATAAAACCTCAAACTTAATAGAAAAATTATAATGTAAATCATGGCATAATGAAAATAAAGTTTAAAAGCATCTTTTAAAGGTAAAAGCATTTGTAGTAAAAGAAACTGACAATCTAACTATATAGAAATTTCCTTGAATGACTGACTATTCTAAGTAAGAATCAACATTTTTTAAAAACTGCTCTTCATCATTAAGATATTCCAATATAATATTCCCACCATTATATAAAGGGCAGTCCTCTTTAGTAACCCAAGTTTCCAAAGTATGATCCAAAGGCAAGGCTTCTCCCGAAGTGACGTGACACAACCTTAGCTTCTGTTGAAAGAGAAACAAATCACACTGTGATAAAGACTCAAGCCCATAAAGAGTATACCCAAAGACTTGAAGGGAAAAGTGGTAACTAGATGCTACCTTGGCTGTTAACTTGTTATTTTCATTTTTAAGACTGGCAAGAGCAGCAGCAAAGTCTATGACCTTTCCAATGCTCCATCGATGGCAAAAGAACATGGCTTTGCTCTTCTCTTTGCTCCCTTTTGGTAAATAAACCTGAAAGTAAATCCTTTCTGTCTGTATAAACAAAGGTGAAAATATATATTAGACACATGAAATAAGACACCCCTTTTATCTAGTGACACCGTCTCCTCTCTTATTCTAGTCAGTGAAGGACTTCCTTCTAATGTTGCTACTATTAGTGAGGAGACTAAATGTGCAGCCCATCCGCCTAACTGCAAGTGCCTGAGACCCAGGGCCCTGCTAGGTCACCTGTGACAGGTATGTGACCTTTGTCAGGTCACTCAGGGTCTTTTCATAAGATGTTGTTATGTTCAGAGACTGGAGTGAAGGAACACTCTTTTTTTCTGTAGTGAATCACAGTGATTTACACTTGGAATTGACTACAGGTTTCATTTACCTCCCTCAGTCATTTCTGAGGGAGGCATGAGTTTAACATGTTCAAGAGGAAGTCAAGAAAATGGATGGACGCAACAAAATCTGAATCCCTCAATCTGGTTATTCCTTTTTATGAGGAAATGACTTGGAATCATGTTTCTGTCACTTTTATGAGGAAACAAATTTGATTTACGACTCGGAATCATGTTTCTGTCACTTGCAGAGGGCTTCTTTGATATATAAAATACACTTTTTGTGTGAAAGACTTCACTATATACAGAGATAGTAAGATTTTTGAGAACAAAGAAACTAAAGTACAACAAACCCCAGAGAAATACTTCAAAAAGAAAAGTGTTAAGGAGATGGGTTTTCATATATTCTACACCCTTTCTTCTTCCTTACATTATATTTTGTTACTTAACTAACACATTTTTTAAAAAATAGGAAAGAATAGAAAAAAATAAATAAAATAAAAACAAGGAGTATAGGCTTTTCCCTGACTTCTAAAAACTGCTTTAGGGGGTGCTGTCTTCACAGACAAATTCCTACATAATAAAAAGTGGTGGCGCATGCCTTTAATCCCAGCACTCGGGAGGCAGAGGCAGGCAGATCTCTGTGCATTCAAGGCCAGCCTGGTCCACATAGTGAGTTCCAGGACAGCTGGGGCTACAGGGAGACCCTGTCTCAAAAAGACTGAAAAAAAAGTGTTGATATAAGTGAAGCCACTCTGATGGAAAAGGTTGAGAACAATCAAAATTACTTTAAGAGAGGCTGGAGAGATGGTTCAGCAGTTAAGAGCACTGGTTGCTCTTACAGAAGACCCAGGTTTGGTTCCCAGCACCCACATGGCCGCTAACAACCATCCATAACTCAAGTTCCAGGGGAGCCAATGCTTTCTTCTGGCCTCTGTAGGCACTGCACACATGTGGTACACTTACATAAATGCAGGCAAAACACTCATCCATATCAAATAAAAAATAAACCAAAAAAGTTATTCTAAGAAATAATAGAGTCAAAACAATTCCTAGCTCAGCATTACGGAATTTAGATTTGTTGAAGATCAATTGGAATCAGTTATTACAGATAAAAAAACATTCAGAGAAAAAAATGAATCATTGGAAAACCTAAGTTTTAGGTCACTTCCATAATCAGACTCTGCTCCAAAAGGAAAACAATAAGAGTTCAAATAACAAAAGAGAAAAATAAAAAGATGCAGCCTCTTTTTAAAAAAGATAAATGTGTCAGGATCAAAAATGAACTAACAGCAAGCTGAGGTAGGGGGTTCATGAATTTGCAAATCAAGGACAGCCTAGGAGACCCAGTCTCTAAAATAAATAAATAAATAAATAAATAAATAAATAAATAAATAAATAAATAAATAATAAATAACAAAAGGCATCAACAAAAGAAAACATAAAAAGTAAACTACATATCACACAGAGAAAAAGACATAATTCTTAGAAGGTTCGCTGCTTTCAGGGAGATGCAGGTGGGAGACTTCAGCTCTGTATCTGTCTCCCTTCTTATGCTATATTTTGTTACATACAAACTTTTTAAAAGACTAAGGAGAACAGGATCCAGGAAGGCAGGCAGAAGCAACTGCTGATGCTGACCTGGATGCTGCTCACACAAACCAGTACAGAGGAAAGCATAAGAGCATGACTGTACTCCCCTGAGAGGGAACAAAGCCTGGCTCTTCCAGCTCCATAAATGCAACTTCAACAAACTGGAGATCTCTCTGAGCAGAAACACTAACTTATCTCAGGCTTAGGATTTGAAATTGAGGTTCTGGGTAGGCAGGCAAGGGGAAAGAAAACACAAAATTACCAGGTAGGAACTGGTATGTAAGGGGAGATAGTTTTGAGAAGAATCTTCAAGTCAAGATAAACTTGTGAAATTACTAAGTATAAATTATAAAATAAAGCAATGAAAATAACAGAAAATTTAAAAGATACTAAAGCTATTTAGGATGCACAGTGAGATACACTGTGTAATACTACCCATAAAAAGTACAAGTTACAGAAGGAAAATAAGTGGAAATAAAGCAAGATATAAATATCAAGCTAGGCAATTAGGATCAACACACATCCAGAGACACTGCACTGGAAATATCATGGATAAAATTGTAAAATATCCAGTAACAGATTACTCACAAAGGTAATAATAAGGTTAACGAGTTGTTTCCTTACCAACAGATGGCAGAAGTCAATGAACAGTATACAAAGAACTAAGAAATGATTATAGAAAATCAAGCTAAAAGTAAGGGAAAAAATAAGAACTTCTCAGATGAAAGAAATAATGGAGTTTACCACTGAAGACCCTTATTGAATAATCTACTGAAGAATATACTCTAGAAAAAATAAAAATGAGTCCCAAGGGAAGGGGAAAGATTTTAAAAGTTGTGAACTTGAACAGTTATACTTGAAATAAACAGAGTTCATGTCTTATTGAGGTAATGGGACGATATTTGTTGGAAAAAACGTCAAGTTCATTGTCTTAGTCAGGAAAGAATACCAAGTAACTTAAGACTTTGAAAGAAAAGTTGGTATTTAGATACATGTGTTAAAAATGTAAACACGTCAGAGCTAGAGAGATGGCTCAATGATTAAGAGCACTAGCTACTCTTGCAAAGGAACAGGGTTCAGTTCCCAGCATGCACAAAGTGGTTCACAACCATCTGTAATGACAGGGAATATGACATCCTCTTCTGGTCTCTGCAGGCACCAGACCTGCATATGGTGCACATATACACATGTTGATAAAATACGCATACACATAAAATTAAAAATAATAAAAATTAGAAAAAATGTAAACATTTTTATAATGTTTATAATGTTATGATTATTATTGTAATCTGTATATTGGAGAGTCTACAAAATGTGGCACAAGAAAATGAAGTGGGGCTGGAGAGATGGCTCAGTGGTTAAGAGCACTGACGGCTCTTGCAGAGGACCCAGGTTTGATTCCCAGTACCCACAAGGCAGCTACAAACTGTCCTTAACTCCAGTTCCAGGGAAATCCCACACCCTCTTCTGACCTCCGAGGCATTGCATAACATAGGTGTACTCACATATATGCAGGCAATACACTCGTACACATAAAAAATAAAAATGATAAAATATTTTTTTAAAAAGAAAATGAACTGGTGTAACTACTGAAAAAGAACAATTAAGACTATTTTTACTGTTAATCAGTGTAACGGTATATAGATAGATAGATGATAGATAGATAGATAGATAGATAGATAGAT